CTTGATCCTCCTTTTATCGTTCGGCAAATCCAGCCTTTACTTTACATAAAAAATAATTCACAAATTTCAATAACAAACATCGGCATCTTGAAAAAGTCAGAGAGACTCTTGTAAACCTTGTTTTTTGAATCAAATCGAGGAAAAGGAAAAAAATAAACTATACAAAAAACTATAATCATATTATCATTTAACCATTAAATTATCAAAAGCGGTTTTTTTCCACCCCTTTAATGTTTTTCTAAAAAATTTGGAATTATTTATTCCTCAAATTATTTTATTGAGGAATAAATAATACCTAAAAATTTATAATATGATTTTTAAATAATTAAAAACTTATCATTAAAAAAACATTTATTTAATATATTAATTATTTTTATTATATTATATTATAAAGTTTTTGTATATAAAATTCATTGACTTGAATGTGTTTGTTGTCACGTCCAATGTAAAGAGTGAAGTGCTCACTTCCACCAAACTGTGTTTCAAGAAGTTCCATTTCTCTTTTGTTTTTATAGCATCGAAAATCACCATGTTTTCTGTACACTCATATTCTGAGTCATTTGAACTACTTTTTGAATCGGTTTGTTGAGAACAAATGCAGCAAGTAATGAGATGGGTGTGATAAATGGTGGTGTTTGTGATAACTATAAGTAAGATGACCCACCACACTGGACTATTCTCGCGTTGTTTGAGCTGTTCAGAACTCACTTAATGCCAAAAAGAACATTTAGTACAAAATTCGCCATTTGTTTCAACGCAGAAAGCGGCATTCGAGTTCACACATTTTCTTTCTGAAAGATAGAAATTGGTCTGACACTTTTTACACTGATACAAATATTTATCACACACCGCACAATGTTCAGAAATCGAGACGCATGGAACACACTGCATGTTCTTTATAGGGAATATCCATCGTCACACATCTCACGCCCATAATCACAACAATACCAATAACAACACATCCTTTTAAGTGTGTTGTCTTGTCAATAAAACGTATTCACTGACGTGAATACGTTTCATTGACAAAATAATTGGTGAAGCACTTTAAACACTCAAAATCACTCAAACACTTTGAACAAGGAATTGGGACACATAAGATATGACCCATTCAAGAGAAAGTGTTTTGTTTTACAGACAACACAATGATTTATGTTGTTCATTAAAGTTAATGAGCAGTGTGGGGATTTGTTAATCAAAGTAAACTGTTTTTTTAACAATACATATAAAAAGTATCATAAAATTTAATTAAAACAATTAAAAGAAATTAATATAAATTATTAAAACTATTATTAATTAATTATTAATAATACAATACTATATAATAATGTAATCCCATAATTTTAAATTTCAAATATAACTAAAATTAAAAACATTACTAATTCAAATATCAGAGCAATGAAGTCAATATAGCGAACCTGAATATTTGTATGATGATGGTCTTTATGGATGATCTAACCTGAATATGTATAATATAATAATAATAAAATATAATAATATATAATATAATAATATGATAAAATATGATGATGGTTAACATACATAATAGAACCTGAATATTGATATGATGATGGTTGACATGCATGGACTGAGCTCATTTTTTATAATAATTATTGCCAATTTATAACATAACCAACCAAAAACAAAATTATAAGAATACAATAATTATAATTAAACTACCACAAGTCGTAAATAACCTTGTTGTGTTGGTATTTTGATATTAAACATTTTGACAAGAACTGAAGTTATTGACACAGTCACTACAGCCAAGAATGACAATTCAAGAACAAGAAACGAACACATAATTGAAGGGATGATGGAGTGGTATTCATTTTCTTCTGAATCGATAATGCAACTATTACACAACTCAAACATTCAAATTGAAGCCACAAACTGTTGTTCACATTGACACATCAAGTACCTATAGTGTTGGTCGATTGTTGTATCGATACATCATTCGTTCTAAACATTAATTTAAATTTATAATATATATACTATATTTATATTTATATTATTTACTCAAAAACTGTCTTTTCAAATGATCGTTTTTTACTGTTTTGAATTGAAAGTAAAAGCCACATAAATTGGGCAAAGCATCAAAACGAAAAAAAATGCATTCAATATGAAAAATACAACAATGGCAATATCGATAACATGATCACTTTAAATTTAATTTGTTGCTAATAAATTTCTCTTATTGGAATTTGGAGAGCCCCAATGAAGAGCCAGACCGCATTAATCTAACACCCACAAACAACAAGAGCCAATTAAAACACATTTCGCCAAACAATTTATTTCGCGATGGTGACACTACTGTCGATAGTTATTTCGTCAAATAACAGCCAAACCCGACTCTTCCAAAGAAACATATCTTGTTGTCATATTACAGAAGACAATATGAGTCGGTTCTGTTATTAAATAATAAAATACTAACAAACGGCTATAAGCACACTAAGAACAATATAGAACACACTGGCGAATAAACGAAAGACGTTGAACCTTGAAATCATCGTTGTATGTATAAAAGCGATTTGGAGTTTTGTTTCGAATTAATGTGTTGTCTTTCTATAGTAATACATATTATTATAGTAATATTATAGTAATCCTATAGTAACACTATAATAACACATATTACTATAGTATTCTAGTTAATAATAAGAACATTTACAAGAGAAAAGAACAAAAATGAAATAAAAATAGAACATATAGGTATAATAATTTATTATATATATTTCTTTGCTGTTTAGGGAAGTTTGTCGAATTATAAACAATTATTTTGTAACTAGAAATCTGTTTCTGTAGAAACTATTTATATATAATGTCTTTTTGTAGTTTAGTTATTAGTATTCAGTTTGTTCATTCATTAAATTATAATAAAACTAAAAAATATTTAAAAAAATAATAAAATGGAAAAGAGTAATTTATTAACTTTAGTAAATCAAAGCATTATTATAACTAAACCATCTATGATATTTTAAATATTGCATATTTTACAATCTAATTGTATCGTATTTTGACAAAAGGACAAATTCGTTTTATCAAACTGTTGCTAATGGTTTTGGTTACTAAAATTGATTTATTTTAGATTTGGAGATATAACTTTCTCAAATATAAACTTGTGGACTTTTTGAATCGGGTTGGTATAATAAAAAGATCAAAAGTTTAAAAATAATTAAAAAATTAAATAAATAACTTCTTATTGATTTTTATAATTGTTATTTTCTTTTGAATAAATTATA